GTGCGCACGGAGGGGCCGCGAGCTCGGCGGGACACGGGAACGGAAAGCAAGCGCGGCGGCGAGCGGAGGCCCAGGCGGCGGCGCCGGAGCGGGGCACGTCCTGCCGCCGGGCGGGGCTGGGGGCGCGGGCTGGCACTGCGCCAGCCGCCCTCTGCCTGCCTTAAGCAGGGCCAAGGTCTCAGGGCCCTGAGGGTCTACTGGCTGCAGACCTGGCGCCAGGCGGGCATCCATCGCCACTGGGCGCGGGTAGATTTCTCTCTTGGGAAAACCTGCCCAACACTTCCCTGAGCCGCCAGCAGGTCCTCTGTCCCGGCGGCCCCTACCCCACGCCCCACTCGCTCCGTTGCAAAGCAGCAGAGGTCGCCTCTGGGCCTTTGCACGGGATGGTCCCATGATCGGACTGTGAGCTGCTCCCAGACTCTCCCAGGCGCAGGACTGTGCTCATCCTTTACCCTCCGCAAGCGGCGTCTGCTATGCACCCTGAGTTGCCTGGGACTGAGGACGGACCCCTCCTCCTAGGACCCTCGCTCAGCCCAGGGCACAGCCCACGCCTGCAGAGTGAGCAGGTACAGCGCCGGTCACAGGCAGTCACCGCCAGGCGGCGCGTCCTACCCGCTCAGGCCCACCTCCTACCGCAGACCCAGGTCCCTTGGAGCCCATCAGCTTCACCTCCGTGCGATCCTGGCCTGCAACAGCAGCTCTGAGACCTAGCCCAGCCCTGGGCGATCCGTGTGCCAATAAATAGCTTAGGTCGCTAAGCTGGAGAAGCCCACCAGCAGTTAGCAGGGTCCGTGCTTCTTTGCAGCATTTGATGAAGGGGCTTCTTGCTACCAGAGTAGAAAGGGGGTGCGGAATTAGGGTGCATGCATTCAAAAGCATGTATGGAAAGCTTCCCCTGACCTGGAGGGACAGCATACACCCACCCACCTACACCCATAGACACAGCTGGGACTCCCCAAAGGCGTTTTCTCATCACCTCTGAACTGGTCTGCTGACCACCCCCCTGAGATCAGCTAGCGCACCAGGGTGCTTTCAATTTGCTTCTAGCCTTGTGGGTTCATCCTAATTTGCTTAATTCCTCCTGGCCTGGCATGATTTCTTGTAGATCTGGGCATATGCTAATTTACATAGCTGGCATCCCCCTACTTTCCTCCATGCAAACCAGTTTTCAATTAGCAAGTTTAGCTTTCTCTTTGATGCAAAAGTGCTGGCAAGATTTTGTTTTTTCTCACCTAAAATCAGAAAGCTCTGCAGATTAGAGGCTGTTACTATTCAGCTTAAGCCCTTAATTCATGTGCATATATTTGTATGTGCATGCACAGGGGATACCAGTGTCTTGATCTTGATGGTCACAGCCAGACTAGGGTCTGGGGGCAGGCATCTTCAGCAGCCTAATGTGGACCTCTTAAAGGATCCTGTTTGAATTGGAGTTTTTTCCCCTCCTTCATCACTTGGAGGCTGGAGACTGGGGACCATTGGTGGCAGTGTGCGGTTTGCATGCTGCCTTTGGCGTACAGATGGCCACATGCACTGACCCTGAGCTCCTGGGGAGGCAGGTTTAGCCATCATCTGCTTCATCAGGCACTTGGGGAGGAGTCTCACCCCAACCGTACACAGCACTGTCCTTGGAGTGGTTCTTCTAAAGTCAGCGTTTGTCACCTGGTGAAATTTATTCCCTCCCTGGGCATTCCAGTGTTCTGAGTGCACAGTATCTTGGGCAACTGCTCCGCTCTGAATGAGAGCTGGAAAATCACAAATAACTGTTCACTCGAATAAGCTCAAAGTAACCCAAACTCCTTTGCCATTTCCTGCCATGGGCTTCACCGTATTCATTTATTATAGTGCTTTTAATTTTTTCACGTACCGTGCTAAATTCTAGGGACATGGCCTAGGATAACACAGATGCAGTGATTTCCACTAATAAATTAATTGGTATGATGGGGGAGGCAGGAGATGGGCTCATCTCTTACTTCTGGCTCTTGATTCAGTCAGATTCATCTCAAGGTTCCCCCCACTCTCCCCACTCAGCCAGTAGACAGTCTAACCCCAGTGGGGATTTAAAGGACTCTCTTACATCAGGAAGCCCTGTTCTCCTTGAGGACCAGAAATCAGGCGAACACCCATCTGAGAGGGTAGGCTCTGGGCCGGGTCGACCAGCACTACTGGTGTGCAGGTCTGCTTACTGGCAACGCCCCCAGCAGGTTTGCCCTGGGCAGCGCACATGGCTAGCACCCCACAAACCAGGCCCCTTTTCTCGGTGAGAAGTTTTCTTTATAAAGGGTTTTATACACAATTAGGGTCAAGTTCTTCTAACCAATAAAAACAGCCTTAAGTGTGTGTTATTCAGGGGGAAAACCAGCAGAAATTTCCAGCTAAGATGAGACAAACAAGAGGAGATTTACACCATGAAAAAATGTGAATTATTGACATATGCTAATGAGTTCTGAATTGTTTATTACCTTTCAGGAAAAAATAATGTTGGGTGTTAGGGAGAGATCAATGAAATAAGATTTTGCAGACTGTGAAAGGTTTTCCTTTTTATTCCAAGTTATTATACTCTGTTTTTCTAAGTAAAAGCTAATAGAATCCAAAAAAATGAGACAGATGAAAATAATCCCTTCCAGGCCTGCAGAGTTAAAATACACACCCCCCTGGGGGAACAGGAAGGAGGTGGAGTCCCAGGGATGTCACCTCGGCAGCGCCCCTCCCACCCACCGCACTGCCAGAACATCCTCCCCAAACAGGCGTGGATGCCACCTAGTCCTTACCTCCTGAACACTCACCCGCTGTGGCAGGATGAGGCCCTGGATGGAGGCCAGGAAAGCTGCCGTCACAGGAGGAGCCTGGCGGCTCCTGGAGGAATGAACGGCAACGTGGTGCCTGACTCAGTGTGGGGTCAGAATGAGGGGCTGCAGGAGTGGCTCCCCAGGCTCTGCTGAACGTGGGAGTCTCTGCAGCTGAGCCCCCCTCTGGAGGCGAGGGCTTCGGGGTGATGACCGGCCGCGAGGACAAGGTGGCCTCAAGCACAATGACTCTGAAGCCTCCGTGGGACCCCCAGAAAGATGCGCTCTGTCTGTCTCAGCTGGAGACTCAGCCAGGAGTTTGGGAGCAGGGTCGTGGAAGGGGTGCAGAACTGGGATTGCTGGGGTTGGGGACGGGCATGGGGTGACCCCCGGGGAGCACAGAGTGGGGAGGAAGAGGCCACTCATGGGGTCACGTGTTGGGGAGTGAAGCTTTCTAAAAACACAGAGAAGTAAACCAAGGCAGGCGGCGGCCTCAAGGCATTGTGGACAGGCAGGAATGTGCATGCTTGATAAAGGGTACTGCTATCAGTTTTACCATAAATGGGTCGCGCTAGAATATCTAGAAAACAGAAAAACATAATGAATCAAACCCACTCAGAGAAAAAGAATGTGAACTTCCATGTCCTCCCTTCCATAACATTTTGTCCTACTCATCTCTCTCTCTCTCTCTCTCTCTCTATATATATATATATATATATAATGTGATCATGTATCTTGTACGAATATCACATAGAGCACATCCTATAATGTTGCATTTTTTAAGATTTTTTTTATTTGTGGGACTGTGCACGCATGAGAGAGAGAGCACGTGCACGGGCCGAGAGGGAGGGGCAGAGGGAGAGGGAGAAGCAGACTCCCCACTGAGCAAGGAGTCCAGGACCCCAAGATCGTGACCTGAGCTGAAGGCAGATGCTTCACTGACTGAGCCACCCAGGTGCCCTTATAATATTGCATTTTATATTAAACTGTATCTTATAACAAAAGTTTTAATTCAGCTTATGCTATATATAACTTTACATCTTATTTTTCACTCAACTTCATAGCATGAGCATTTCTCCACATTATTAAAAATTCTTAGAGGAGCCCACTTGTCAACAGCAGAGCAAATCCCTCACTGAAGATGTTTAGGAGTTAAGGTACCTGTGCCCTAATGAGAATTCAGTAGCCAATTGTGGAACAATAGGGGCATCCCCCTCGACCTGTCACTCATTTTGTAGTTACAAAAATCTACTCACCTATCCATCCATCCATCTATTCATTCATCCGTGACATATGTAAAATATCCCAAATAATGGAGTAGGTAGAGGAGTGAGGAACAGGAGGCCGTTGGGAAACCAGAGCCCTGGGTGGTTGCGGGAGGCTTGCTCCCTGGATTCTCCGGACAAGATGAGAACCAGGCTACTCTCCCTGCACCCAGAGCCTCCACCCTCCCCGGGGGCACATCCCCAGGTCCACACCGATCCTGGGTCATGACACACATGCACCTACTGGGTCAGCTCAGTCGAGAGGCTGGGGATGGCATGACCCAGTGCTCCTTGGGAGACACTAGCAAGTTCCCGGTGAACAGAAGACCCGGGTTGGATGCCCTATTCCCGAGCCCCCAGTGGACTCGGAGATCTCCACCCAACCAGCAGGGACACAGCCAGGGCTTTGAAGGTCGTGTGCAAGCAGAGGGGAGGGGGCTGGCACCCAGCCACACGCCAGATTATTCTATCCAGAGGGGCGACTTCCTGAGATCACACCAAGGCAGCCCTGGGCATTGAGCTCTGGAGAATGACAGGGAGAGGCATTTATGAGG